CCGCCGTTGCCGCTGCCGCCACCACCACCGTCACCGCCACCGCCACCGCCACCGCTACCGCTACCACCATGAAAAATGCGGGGAAAAATAAAAAATAAGGAGGTGAGCGAGCGCAGCTCGTCGGTTCCGAGCGGATCGATCGCCCGAGGGACGCACTCGCGTGGAATGCGCTCCATGCGAAAACGTTTTGACCGATTTTTATTTTCTAGTAATCTCAGCCAGGGCAATTGCTATTACTACTACTACTACTGCTGCTGCTGCTGCTATTGCTGCTATTGCTATTGCTATTGCTGTTGTTGTTGTTGTTGCTGTTGCTGTTGCCGTTGCCGCCACCGCCGCCGCTGCTGCTGCTGATGCTGCTGCTGCTGCTGCTGATGCTGCTGATGCTGCTGATGCTGTGCTGCCCCTTCTACACTTGCATTTGGCCAAACGCAGACAGAAATTACAGTAGCAGTCTGTTGATTATTACTACTACGACGGCGGGCGGTGGCGAATAACTTGCCGCCGCTCGCAACACACGCGACTGCAACTCCAAAGCCTTGACTGTTGCGTTGTCACTTAAGAAGTTGTACTCGGAGTACCCGATGTCATTCTCTCTCGATAGTGTTTGATGATTAACACTGATTTTGCCACTTTGAAGAATCCGAAAAACGATCGCTAGAATGTCGTTAAGCGACGATTACGAGCGATCTTTCCAATCTCGTATTGGATTTGTGCAAATATGCAGCTGCAGCTGCTCTTTGCACTCGGATAGCCATTTTTTTTTTCAAGGGCACGTTCTTTCGAATCGCGAATAGTCTGAATTCCGAAAACGAGGGCTTTGAGATGCGTCGAGTCGACCAAAGGAAATCAAATATTTGTTGCGACTATTTGTCAAAAGCCTGTCCTGTCGCGCGATTAGGAGGAGCACAAATAGTATCGCATCACCCCGAGTTTATTTAGTTATTTCATTTTACGAGACGTGCAACAATTGTATTTTTTATGAAAAACCCTCTCTCTCTCTCTCTCTCTCTCTCTCTCTCTCTCTCTCTCTCTCTCTGGACAATTAGTTTATTCATGTTTATTATAATGTTATTATTTTTTTTATTAATGTTAGAGCATGCGTAATTTATTTCATTAGCATCGCATTCATTTTTACTGTCGAATTTTATACAAATGCCTTCGAATTTTCTATTAAATCGTAAAATAATATACTTATCGGCGCAATTGCTGATGGATGAATCAACAATGCTAGTAAATTCGTGAAAATAAGGTAAAATAAGGACAAGCGCTAGACGTGTCTAATTTGTAAAATTGTCGCTCAATTACCATCTTATCTCGTCCGTTTCTTCCTTTGCTTTGAACATTAATTGATAAGCATTAGTTGCTTAGCAATTTTCCTTCATGAAGAATAAAAAAAATACATAAAAATATACGAAATTTTTAAATACCTGCTTAGTCGATAGAAAAAAAAAAAAAAAAAAAAAGAAAAAAGAAAAACGTAATTGTCATCAACTTTCGTTATTATATAGAGTATTCGATAGAGCTTGGTATAATAAATAAACGATACACGTACAAAATAACGATAAAAAATCACGACATCCGTTAATGTAGTATAGAAATTTTAAAGAAAAAAACCGAAACGTCAAATATTGTTTATTTAACGTAAAAATTGATGAAGAAAGGCTAACTTTTACTGAAATCCTCGAAAATTTATTAATATAAATTTTCATTTACCAAATTAAACGTGAAAATAATGCCGCTGGACTAATACAATTTTCATTTCCATGGTTGCCTGATAATTTTACTATTAAGAATTTCAAAAATACATTCGATAGATTATGAAAAGTATAAGAAAAGTTAAATACACACGGCATAAAGATATGAGGAAGGTTAATTCCACTGTGTAAAACGAACTATCGACATTTCTCTCTATTCGAAGGCCTTCCTTCTTTTTTTTTTCTTTTTTTTTTTTTGAAATACAAGAGATATCGGTATACTTGCTGCATAATAAAGAAGAACCTATTCGTTAAATAAATAATTTCATTAAATAAATAATCGCAGCTGTTACACACAAGACCTTCTAAAGCGCAAGCGAAGAAACGTCATTTCAATGTCCCTTCTCTTGTTTAAAGCATTAAGGCCTCCGTCTCTCTCCCACATTCGTATCCCTTTCATTGGCCATTTGCTCCCTCTCCCTCCCGACAGCTCTCGCTCACTCACTCTCTCGCTTTTTTTTTTTTTACCGAGAAGGCCGTCGTACCTTGCGTAGTACGACACCCATACCGCAGGCTGGCAGACTGCATGTGTACACACCACATGTACCTCGTAGTTGCTGCTTTTGACGCAGGACAACGACCACAGTGCACGGCACACACCACCCGGGACTTTGATGCCGATGATGTGGCCGGCTTGCGTGTGTACGTACGTACGTACGTGCATGCGTGCGTGCGTGCGTGCGTGCGTGCGTGCGTGCGCACTCGCTGATAGACTCGTTGCTGCTTTGTGATCCCGAGGCCTCATAAGTATATACTCGCGCGTTTACCTACCTACCTACCTACCTACCTTACTACCATACACAATGTTTACGCGCATGTATGGGAAGCGATCATGGAAAACTTGAAGAAAAAACAAAGAGACCCTCCTGCGAAAAACGGAATGAAGGAGTGAAAAATGAATTTGATTTGACAGGACATTGAACAAAGAGAGTTTCACAAAAAGCTGATGAAGTGATGTTTAGCCGAACATCGCGATATAACATGATATATTCCATGCTTTTATATCTATATATATATATATATATATATACAAACACACTTCCACGCACACACGCACGCATATATATATATATATATATATATTATACGTACCCATGCATCAGCCAACAAAGTAACACTTGAATTTAGAAGAAAGAAATACGCATTCTTTAACCGTTTATTGGCTTATACAATTTTTAAAAAGCACCTTTTATAACATACAAAATTTATACATGGAGCGAGGAGAGTGATTTTTCAGAGTCAATTATTATATTCATCGCCTTTTCTTTCTCTTCAAATACAAAATGTCCTTTTAAAACGATGCATTTACATATATTTACTGTCTCTCGGTGCGAATGTGTGTCGTGTAGCGCAAAATGTACGAAACATCGACAACTCCGACAACTTAAGCAAGTGACCGATAAACGCACGTTCGTATTAAAAAAAAAAGAAGAAGAAAAAAAAACAGAAGCGGAATATATAATATTTTTCATAAGCACCTATTAAGCAAACGTATGTCGTCATTTTAAACAAAGTTCATTGTATTGTTACCGCTAGTGCAGCTTTACTAAATAATTTGCCAATATTACGAATCAATAATGTTTAAGGTGAGCGAGCGGTTACTGGGAAATTCGTGAAAAATAACCTTGGCGATAGAAGGCAAATCCATCTTTCTAAAATCAAAAGGGATGAAAAATTGACGGTGAGAAGAGAAATTGTATATTTGCTTAACGAAACTAGGAATACACAATGACTGTAGTGAATCCGAGGTCGGGAGGAATTTGTTGGATTGTAAACGGGAATGATTCGGGTCGTCCGTTGTATAAAAGCAGGTAGTAAACCTTGGATATGACAAGGGCTTCGGTAACGATTTCTACATCTTTGATTATTATTGTTTATTAAACTTTTGCTTTTAGCCATGAACGGGAAATGAGGTATGCGAATAACAATATTAATTTCCATACCATTTATCTTGATTATTTGTTTATTAAATTTCATTGTTTTAATACTCAATATACCGTGTACTTAATATATTATTCAGTTTATTGTACAGATTATCTTGTAATACACCGAGTGCAGCGTACAAAATAGAATTCGGTAAAATGCAGCTTGATTATTTCTATTTTCTTGTTGTACGCATATCGATTAATTCGTAATGATGAAAAATTTTCGGAAAATTGAAAGACATTTTTATTCTTACATGACTAAGAGCATTTGACATTGATTGAAAAACAATATTTTTAGGCACAATAGCATTCTTATTGAATATATACATGAAAAGATAATATTGACAATTATGTACGTGCGAATTTACGAAAGTACGTATCACAATTGTTAAAAAAATTATATGGTTTTAAATATTTTCAGTTTCCTAAATAGCAGGTTAGTAATATGACAAAGTCGCACATATCGAACAATTCATTAATTTTATCCAAATATAATTAATATTTATATTTAACTTGTATGTCGTTTTTCCTCGTAAGAATAACTCAAAACAGTAATTTTATATATACTGTTATCTAAAATTCATTACAAAATGGATTTTATAAAAGTTGGTCTAATTTACTTAACTACTATAAAAAACACCATTAAAAATTGGTTATATAAAATTGAATAAATGCGATGTTCCCTTATCGTTATAATTTATTAAATAAATGCAAAATGCATATTGGCAAATTATTATCTATCTTGTAAGTACTAAGGCTTTAAAACCCAAATAACTTATACTTTTATCCATAGACAACGACAATAATGATATTGCCTTTTTTCACTGTCGATTATCAATATTATAATAGTATAATTGGTAACACATTGATCGTCTTGTATTTTCATAATGTTGATCGAACCCATTCGATCAAGTTTTCAATAATTTTTACATAATATTGTAAAAATGTCTATTTTATTGACGACAAGTGGTCTTGGCATATTTTTAGCGTAACCTTGATGAAGTCTACGTTGCAAGCAACGAAGACCTTAAAATTAAACTTAATCAGCATTTTTTAGCGCGTTTGAAAAATTTGCGTAAATATTTTGTTAATTTTATTTCAACGATCTAATCGAGAAGATCCAAAAATATTTGTGATTAATATGAGAATATCACAGGAAATTTTTAAACATATTTATGCAATATTGGCGTAATATCAAAATCATAAAAAATATAATATTTCAAGTTTGGTGACAAGAACGCAATTGTAATTTTTAATAAAACAATAGTGTCAATTTTTGTTTCATTAGAAAATTTAGCATAAATGTTATTTATTATTTGTTTGCTTATGTATTCGATTCAAATACACTGATTATGATATTCCATTCTGTATTGACGGAAATTTCACAAGACGCGTTAGCATCGATGTTATACATGGTATTTGCTTTTGCTGGTGCATCGTTATATTATCAGGTGTATTCGATTCAAAATCTATTGCAACACGCTGACATACGAATGTGAGAAGCGTTAATAAGTCATATCGAGTACCGTTCTCTCTGAGCTCCAAGCAAAGCGCTTGCATAAACCATGAACCACGAGTTGTATTTCGCCAAGAATAAAATCCTGGAACAGTCGAATAAGCGATTAAGAAATCAGCGTGTGTTGGAATGCGAAATGTGACGGTTGGATGTCCATCGGTTTCTGTTCTTTCCTTTAAGCTAATTCCACCGTCGAGTCTATCACCCTGACAAGCTTGAATAAAAAAGAGCTTTGGCTTTCCGGCAAGAGATGGGCATCTATCCGATGTAAAATATGACCAAATTGTATCAGCCTTATATGGAGTATCGTGGGCATAAAGTAGACCCAACTCTCCGTGACTTAATACTGCGACAATAAGGCAATCGTGCTGGGAATGGTCCATTTCAGCCACTATAACAGTAGAATATTGCAAAAATTAAAATATAGTTCTTAATTTAATCACTCTGTATATGAAGCAATTTAATTGTAATTTGTGCGGATGCGCAGTTAAGGAAAAGCAAAGAATATAAGGAAAGATGGGATTGTTTGTTTAAAGAATCTATAATCGTTACTCTTACCTTTCTCCAAATATTTAGCTATATCTTTGTGCGTAGAATTATGAAAATCATTTACTTCAAAGCCCAAATCTTTTAAAGTATTCGCAAGGTTTTCGCAGTCAACATTTGTGCCACAACGTGGTTTTAAATGGCTGACTGTGAAAAATTCATGGTTAAATATTATGGCTAATCCACGCTTTCCATGATTCATATTATAGTGGGTAGCATAGCGTTCGGTTGGAGCAGTGCGAATTTGATTAATAGGAGCGATGCTGTTTCTGTATGTGAAAGAATGAAACGAGTCGAATGATTAAAAATAACAGTCAAACATAAGCAAAAAACAACAGGACAAAACATTATGTGGAATGGCTCGAAAATTATTGTGATATTTATACATTTTTTATAAATTTATCATTTATATCATTTTTGTAATGATTTTTATAAAAAAAAAATAATCTCACGATAACAATCACAATGCTGAGCAGTATTATTTTTGCAGTTTATGCATCCAATTTATTCATTTTAGAATTAATTTTTGATTTATTAATAAATAAAAGCTGGGAAAGCAATAATTACCTGCTACAGCCAAATGCGTCAGCAACATCACTGTCTCCCATTGTAATAATATTATGACGAACCTTGTGCTAAGGCCGATAAATAAAATTAAAATACTTGTCCCGAATACGAGTCCGCGAGTAGGAATTGGTTAAGTAGTCGCGAAATAACTGACTAGATTGGCAATTTAAAAAAATCTATTTCAACTCTTGTTTTACTGCGACTAATATTTACTTGTTATCGTTTCAGCATATGCAATTATTCCGCTTGGACTATCATGCGTCAAACAACCCACCCAACAACAAACTCCGACTCCCCTATCACTCTCTTTGGCTATATTTTTCTTTTATTGTTTTTGTTATTCAAAGCCCTATGAAAGATTAATCACTAATTAGTAAAGCGATATGTAACGGGATGAACCGCAGTGTTTGGCCGGAGACGCTTCTGTTAAGTTGGGCACGCGGTGGGGGATTCTGTCGAATTTCTGATTGTGCGCAGTTGCGACTTGGTAGCGATTGGCCGTCGTTGGCGCTCTCCTTTAATCGTGAGTAGGAGAGACGGGGCACGACGAGCATCCTCGACGAGCAGTTAACATAAAGCGACGAGTGCGGGTCTTTTTTGACACGGCAAGGATGGGAGCTTGGCAATCCTTTTGGAATAGAGTTTTGCGAATTTAATGAAGTTTGCTTAGCGTAGGCATAGGCCTCCCCTCACGATCTCGAAGGACTCGTGGAGTCGAGCGAGTGCATTTGAGGATCATCGATCCAGCTCATCCTATTCATCACCAGGTCTCAACAGATATGAGCCTATTATACTACCCGAAGCGTTTCCCTCTTCCTCTCTCTCTCTCACTCTCTCACTCTCTCTCTCTCTCTCTCTCTCTCTCTCTCTCTATCTCTCTATTTTACCGTTACTATCATAATGACCGCGTTTTATTATTCGAACAACCAAACAGCTAAAGCGCCATAATCTAGTGAGCGATAATATTTTTATGTCAGTATTTTTCAAATTTTGCACGCTTTTTTTCATATTTCGCGCGTATATATTATATATATATATATATATATATATATATATATATATATATATATATGTATATAATATGAATATAGGGGAATTGTAGGCTTGTGACCGCACTCGTTCTGATACGTGCAACGATGCAATGTTCTTGTAAATGAAGGGCATTATTATAGATAGTCTAGGGTAGACGTGCCTGTTTGTTTGGACTGGCCATTAGCAATATGTTGTAAACTAACACTAGTTAGCTTCGATAGTGCAAAAAGACGCGTGAAGATGCAATTCGCATGCCAATTGTGCGTTGTGCACGTCGCTTGGGAAGTAAGACGTTAATAAAAAATTAGTCACCTTATGATGATAGGTTGGTGCAAATGGACCTCCTATCGTCTGGTAAGTCATATGAAGTTGAAAGTAGCGGCGAAAGAGAGAGAGAGAGAGAGAGAGAGTAATATCCCGAATCGCTTCTTTACTTTTGTAGAGCAAGTTGATAGGGGTGTGTTGTACAAGAGTTACAACTGCTTTTATTCAGTTTTCTATAATTAATAATTAAAAATTTATAGCCGAATGAAAGGATTATACTTAAATTTAATTTACATTTCATTTCAAGCTTGATTTTTTTTGTTTATATTTCTTATACATTTATTCTTATAATGATATAGACACGTATTAGTAGTTTTTATAAATGTAGGTAATAATTAATTTTTTGAAAATTGTACTAAAAACAGTAATGTTTCTGTTACAAAAATTAATTTGCAAGTACTCAAGCAAGGTATTGCTCAAGCGTACAAGGCTATACGTCAACATCAAAAGCAATATTCCTTCCTTTAAACAGATAAAGCTAGTAGACGAAAGAAGAAATTCATGAAATATTATTTCAACAATTATGTATCCACTTTGCAATCAATTCTTTCGATAAATTTACCCCCTACTTTATTGCCAGACACTCGTCTAAATAATCAAACACTCCCATACAAATGCAAAATTCGAATTGTACATCGCATAAAATTGATTTTCTTCCGTTTACGAAATTTCTGGTTTTTCATTAGTAAATGATAATCGCACGCAAATGGCAATTCGTAATAAAAATGCATTATCATTGCCCCATATCACTTAACCTCCAAGTGTAGGACTATAGAGTGTAAAGCTGTTACGTCAGGTTCGTCCTTGGATGCGAGAACCATGTAGATCCTGTGTGCGATTATAATCTTCGATAAGAACCCAATCACGTATTATTTTCAATCCTTTTATTTTAAATTCACATTTCCATTTTGATATCAATAATTGGGATTCGGTAATTGAGACTATCATATTTTTATAAATGTACGTTAATTGTATCCCTTTTAATTGTATCGCTTATATATTCGTACAGTAATGTATTTTGTTATTATTCTTCGATTCACTCCGTAATTGAGAAAGCCAATTTCATCACAAATGCCAATTTTCGCTCATAGCATTTGTATTGAATGATCGAAAATTTATTAGTACATCTGTTTTATATAGTTTAATTGGCATTTTTATACATCTTATTGGCCTTTAAGCATTCAATTTATTATTATGATTTAGAGATAAATGTGTTTATCACAATTTCAATCAATATTGTGTACAAATGCAGGCTTTATTATATATTACGGTGGTAATATTTTATTTCGTATAAAGATTCTTTAATTTGATTTTTATATGAAAGTAAATTCTGCTCCTAAGTGTTTGTAAGATAAGGCAATATTTCTTTATTAAATGATAATGAAAAACAACATAAGTATGAGAAAGTGTTCATTATGAAAAAAAAAAAAAAAAAAAATTAAATTTAATGAGTAATTATATTCTGTTTAGCTTCTTACAAGACATTTACCTTCAAATCAAATCAAACGTATATTTTCGGGAATAAATCCTTGTTTTATCAGATCGATAGTAGAACACGCATCTTGTGTCTCTAAAAATATAAAGTAAATCAACGAATTTATCTTTTCTATATTTGTTTGAATAAATTGAGAAATTAGCTGAAATCGTTAGAGGATTAAAATGTAAATTTTTTAGTTGATTAAATAAAATATTTCGCTGTTTTCTGAATCTATAAATACAAAGTTACAATTTCGTTGATTTTATAAAACGCTTTATTAAAATACATATTATTTTGAAGAATAATCATTTAATTAATTTATACTATACTTGCATAATACAAAAATATTTATTATAATCCGTCGTCCTCTCATCGCTATTTATTATGAGTAAACAATATTAATTACCTGCGTGTTCAACATTATTTTTCAATACTTATTTATAAGAAATTACATTTAATGCTTTGGACAATAAGATTGAAGATTATCTTGATAGACATAATTCTTTTCCTAACACTCAAATGTTTTATTTTTCACATTTATATTTATATCGTGACAAAATCAATGGTAAAAGACAAATTAACTAATAGGAAAATCACAATATATCACAAATTTTCGTGTAAATTTAAGTAATAGTAGTGACATATTTTTAATAACATAATTTTAGGGTTTAAAGATAATCATTGTTACAAAACTCGTTTCAGTCAATTAATTATTGATCAAAATTTTGATCAACTGCTTGTACTTATATCGATTAATTATAGACTTAATATTTTATTTTTAAATAATTCTGAATAATATTCTTTATTCATTTCTATATATAAAAATGTCGTAAAATTGTATCAAACAGAGTGTATTCTATAGAATGTAGACAATAACGTAGATTACATTACATTACAATGTTCAGTTTCTTTTGCAACGATAAATTACAACGTATGCTTATATTCGACTTACATGCAAACTCTATCACTCGATTTTAGTATTTATGGTATTAAAATCTGCTAACAATAGAATTTTTATTTTTATTTATTTTAAGGGAATAAAAGTTTTATGGTAAGCCAACATTTTAATGATTTTCGATAAGAAGTATTTCAATTGCACTTGCAAAATATGTAAAATTATTGCAATTATTTACATAAACTTTTCTTAAAAATAAATAATTGGACATTTATCTTTATAATCCAAAAAGAAGATTTAATCACGAGTTCTGTATACTGAAATAATATCACATTATAAGAAGATTCTCAGCAATGGCAAGATTGATTAAAAAGTTTTCAACTGCTGTTGCAAGATTTTTCTCTTTAATCGATTGAATAGGTACTTTCTTGGCTCCTTCTGGCGTTTCAACGGTAGCCAATGTTATTAATTGATTCAAAAGATCTTGAGTTTTATCTGCAATTTCAGATATGATTTGTACTTCTGTTAACGATTGATTTTCACAAAGTTGTACCATAAACAATGCGATTTCTTTATGCGTTTTTGTCATTGTAAAACTTTCTGTAAAGCAAAGAGTAATTATATATTTTTTCTTTATAAAATATTTTATATTATGCCTTTTAAAACATATACCCTTTGCATGATTAGGAACAATAACTTCTCTCGCAGGAATGTTAACCAATAAATCATAAAGTTCTGGCTTTGACGATATCAAGTTGTCTCGGCAGCCAGCTACATAGAAAGAATTCTTCTGAAAAGATACAATACTATTCTTATAAAATTCTTTTGGCTACTTTAATAAAAATATAAAAAAGTAATTCATTGCCTTCAATTCATTGAGTTCATCTGGTATCAAGTCAACCCAAGTGAGAAGATTATCTGCTATTTTTCGATGTTTCATCAGGACAGGAAATGTCCTAATCCACTTTAACAGTTGTTCCAAGCTATGATGATAAACAACTATTCTTTTTTTCAATAATAGAGCAGTGTATATTAATATCGTTTCTAATTCAAAAACTTTAATCAATTCCTTAAGATTGGTGTTTAAGCCAAAGGGTAGTGCGTCAAAATCATTAGATGAAAAGCTTTCGTTGTCTTTCGTTATGCAACTACCTTTGGTATAAGCGCTTAAATATAATTTTAAAATTTCTACAGGATCGCCGCTTTGATTGTACGTTTTACTAAAAATCTTACAAAGTAATTCATACTTTTGAGGACAGTAATCTGTTGTTAAAAGTACAATTGCAAATTGTTTTACCTAAAAGATAATCTCATTATATTTGAAATGAAATTAAAATACATTAACCAACGACAATATGTAATTAAATTTACTTTAGGCAGTTTTTCCGAGTCTGCTTCATTATTGTAAATATAAAACCAATATTGACCATGTCTTGAAAAAACAAAGGATTGAATGTTATTATGCTCTAGTTGGGAGTTATATTTTCTTGTAATAAAACTTTTTTCCGATTCTATCATTGTCGGATAATTCCATGTCCATAAGGTATCACCATTGCTATCCCTTTCTAAAGGATAAACAAAAATTTATATAAAAAATAATAAATCTTCACGTATATTATTAATCTAAGACGGTAAAACACATAAGATTTATGAAAATATATAATAAACTTTGATTACCTAAGTAACATTAGGGAAATATTTACCTAAAATACTGCATAAAACTAATTCTGTAAGAGGCGCCATTAAAATTTATACATTGAATTATATTAATTTTTTTATAATCACTTGATTGTCTAAATATTCCTTAGTCTCTTCATCTTAATGAAATATGTCGAGCATAAAAAATAAATATGTACAAGGTTACGTACACGTCTACCTCAACCCGAGTGGTTAATGTTTTATTTAGGAGTTATTTCATTATTTACAGGCAGCAGTGACGAACAAAACGATCATTAAAACTTTACGTAAGTGAATCGTAGCACTACGTGTTATTTAAATCAATGAACGAAAAATTCTTATAATAAAGACTTGAGGTTACATAAGCTAAAGTAATAATTACATTAAAATTGTATTATGGTTATAAAGTAGAGAGGTTATATATATATATATATATATATATATACACACACATATATATTACATATAGAATAAATATTTGTAAAATTAACAACGACAAAACGGATTTATTACAATGAAATACATATACATTTGATGATAAAATTCGTGATTTTATTAAATTAAATAATATTTTATTGACTTTTATGTAAATGTTTTGAAAATTCTAACTACATATTTGCAAAACTTGAAATATTATTATTTATACACAAAATAAGCTATCCTTCAAGTTGTAATTGTGCTAATAATCCCTCTATATATTTGGAATCGTTGCCTTTGTCGGCAATTTTATTTTTATATTGTTTCTCAATTTGACCAGCAACCCACTCATTTAACTTGATAGTTCCTTTTTTTTGTGATACAGGACACTTTAGTGAGAGAGCTAAATTGTTTGTTGCCTAAATATAAAAATAATAAAATTAATTAATTCATCAGCAAAGTAAATAGACAATTTTTTATTAGAAATTATTTTTTAAATTGGGCTTACCAATAACAAGCCATACAATGCCCTAATATTATTTGGATTCAATTTAATTGCTTGGCAAAAATATGCTTTTGCTATATACATATTTTCATAGCCACCCTAAAACATGAAATAATATTAAAATTATTTATCATTGAGTGTCGTTTGTATATCATAATGTACACTAAATTACTTGAGAATATTTTATTTCTGCGTAACGTTGATGTAGTAAATGATTATGCGGATTATGCAATATAAGCTCCTCGATACAAATTGCTGCTTTACTGTATTCTTGTTCTTGTAAATAAAGATTACAAAGTTCATGCCATCCTTCTTGATCACTCATGAACCTAGAAATTTACTTAACAATTAAAATAATACATTTATTTTTATCTTGAAATATCTGCATTTCAACAATTTACTTTTTTAAATATTCAGTTAATTCTTTGATAGCTTCTGGTATATGGCCGCATGCTTTTAAAATAGCTACGCGACGTTTTCTTGGAGCAGCGTTCGTTTCGTCTCGTTTGATAATTGAATCTAAAACCTCTAAAGCTTCATTGTACCTGAAATAAAAGTAAATATTTCATAAGTATCAAAATTATACGATCAACGGAACTCCATTAAATTTATAACAATTGTTACATTTCCAAAGCTTCTAAATACATAGCATGATATTCATGAACCCGCGAACTTCCAGGAAATTCTTTCATTAATGCTTTTACGCAGTATTCTGCTAATGGAAGTCGGTAACAATCCAAAGCAGCAAAACATACCTGCTCTAATACCAGATACTCTGTATGTACAAATAATTTTAATTACTACAAAATACTCGTAAGAATATGTCAGCAAAGCTATCATAACAATATTGCGTATGCAAATAAATTAATAACTTACTTTCATTTCCAAGTTTATCAATATGATACATTAAAACTGTTTCCCATATTTCTACAACATCCTTACTTCGGCGTTCTAAGCTTTCTCTCCAATTTCTAAGGATATCGCGACCCTCTATAAAAAAATTACGACATAACCTTACTTAGCTAGCTAAACATTTCAGCAGTCAATTATTATTAATTAATAAAGACACAGCCTACCTGTCCAATTCAAATTATCATCAATTTCACACATATTTAATAATTGCTCTACAACTCCTCTAAAATATATACATGGAATGATTTTGTCCTTTATTATTTCTGTAAATCAAAGTATCTACAATATGTAGTTACACATAGTACAAAGATAGATAAAGATAAAAATTTATTTAATATATATTATTTTTCAATATAAATTACACGTACGCACGAATGAGTGTGCATCTAAGGTAATCGCGACTTAACTTCGTGACATTTGACTTGGCTGTCTCTTGCAACATGTACGGTAAATTGTCAGCTGCGCGCAGTGCTGAAAATTACTGTCAAACCTAGCTCGTCAGGTTACGGCAAACAGGTACGGTAAAGCTGTCGTAATACATATATTCTCTGATCTTGCGTGAATAGTGCACAGATTTCATGTAAAACTTAGCTTATGTGTCGTTTATGTAGTTTCAAGCTTATTTAAAACAAGCCGAACGAGCATGATAAATAGCCCTTAATTGCATTATTATATATACTATTATTAAAGTAAGTCAACTGTGACTAAAGAAAGGTGTAGAAAATGTTGGTCACTCTCAAGTTTAATTTTAAAGATTGAAGTTTTAAGGCCTATTGATAATAATTGTATCTCTCAATTTTAAATTTATTCGTAATCAATCAATTTGTAATTTCCATAAGTGAGAAAAGTAAGAAATAGAAATTTCTAATTTAATTTTCATCAATTTGAGTTTTTAATATTAAGTGCGATTATATATATAAGATGTCATTCTAGATCAATTATCTATTTATTATATAAATCGTATGGAATTTAATGTATAATTAATACATAAATATATGCCCAAATTTCAATTCAATGACGTATGAGTGGAAAAGTGAGCGATAAAAACAAGATTTATAAATTGATAGACAAACAATTATTGATGTTTCTAATTCTTGAATAGGAAAATATTGATTAACTGCTTATTTCATTTTAAATTACAAACTATTTTGGAGAGCGCGTGATCATAATTTTAGAAATTGAAAAGTTAGAGACTAACAACACAGATATATTTCTATTTATTATCTCTTTAATTATTTTTTTTTTATATTTATTTTATTTAATAATATGAGTTTTTAAATAAAAAGATTATATTTCTAGTTATGATATTCAGTTAAATCTATCTTTGTATTAATATCGCCTCACTGATTCTGATATTAATAGTATATAACATTCAATACCTATAATTATAATTAATAAACCTAATGCAATATGTACAACAATTCCTATGTCATCTATTATTATAAATTGAATTCAATAAATACATAATTCAACAAATAAACAAAATTCTTTTCAACCAAATATTTTTATCTTTTAACGTGCCCTAGAAACGTAAATTTCAAATACATAAATATGTATATTGGAAAGTAGCTGTTTACAAATATTGCATATTAATTTTGCAGACTACTAGCTCTACAATAATTGTCATATTAATACTTCAATGCTACAGATTATAACTTTCATCTAATCCAAATTGATTCTTTTATTTTGTTAATTTAATTTTATATATCTACCACTTGTCTATTCATATTCTAGATTTAATTTTTGTAGACGTTCTGATTCATGATGTGCATAGATCTCTTCTCTAAATGCTTTTATTTTGTTTTTTGTATCTAAATTTTGCGGATAACAGTTTCTTCTTATGTTCATAAGTTCCTCTTTAAATATCCATGGTGTATTATAATAATGAAATGTTATAACAGGAAACATCATGTATGTCAGCATTCTTAGAACTTCTATTTTCCACTTAGAATCACATAAATAATATGGACATTTAATATTTGTAAATGAATATAAAATAATATAAAGTAATATCAAATTTAATATAAAAATATAAAAAATTTCAAATGTACCATTTTGGACAGAATTACAAATAAGAATTGATGATTATAAAATTGTTTTAAAACTAAATTGTTATTAAGCAGTGTAATATTTGTACAAATTTTGCTTGTGCCGTCTTAATAACATAACCTTTAAGAATGGGTATAGCAGATTTCTAATTTATCTTCCCTTATTATCTTAAGCTTCAAAAAATTTTCGTTATATGTCGCAAGTGTAAATCTATTCTATTTTCTAATATAAACAATTAAAACGAGCAATAAATATTTTAAATTAATATCAATTATTATTATTAACAATATCAATGCACTGTTATTATTGATTATGTATAGAAAAAATATACATTAAACGAAGCAATATTTATTTTAATAATGAAAAAGACTATTTCGTTTCAATCTCAATATATATTAATATATTTCATAGTTGCAATGTGAATTTGAAATAAAAATTCGTGTATGTAAAATAATTGTAGAAAATCGAATGAAATTTAATTTTGTTTTCAATGAAAAAAGTAATTATTCCTTCTAAATTTCATTCTAAAACTTGCAAAGAAATTTGTTGATATTATGAATTTTACTCGCAATTTCTTTATGAACAAATAATACCCGCTACCTAACAAATAGTACCTGCTACTTTATTTTTTCTTCCTTTATTGTTTTGAATTATCTCCAAATTATTAACAAATATATATTTTTAATGTAATTATCATTTATTTGATAGATATGTGTAATATGTTTCATAGACGTTAATAGATACAAATATGTAATACGTACTTTTACAATTAAATAAAGTAATAATTTTGTACTAATATATTTTTAATGTAGATTTTCAGAAACGAAAAATTATCCTTGTAAAATATATAAGGAACAGATGAAACTAATAAGTTGAGTACCAATAGTAAATGTTGAAAAATGAAAAATATTATTCTCTGATACAGTTAATTTTTTATATTTTCTTTATAAACAAAATAGTTATTACGTATATTTATTAGATTTATAGAATAGTATTAAAGTATCATGTAATTTCTCATACGTATATTATTATAAATAATTTATATAATTAGATTATATATATATATATATATATATATTTATATATGCTTAAATGTTTAAAAATATTTAGAAATAATTTTTTTAATGAGTTTCCGCCTTCTATAATTACAATATATTAAAATATTCAGCACGTATGTCTTGTTTTAGTATTTTTTAAATTAATTTTTCCATTAAAAACTATTTATATCGAAGGATTTGTCTTAAAATAGTTAATATTTTTGCATCTTTGTAATATCAATATTTTTATTTCTGTATTTTATAATAATTATAAAAACGATTATTCATAAACAATAGTATTAGATGTATAGAAATATAACACGTAAACTTTTAAAGTTTTAAATAAACGTTAATAAATATTTACAGCATGTGAGTAACCTTAATATATATGGACGAAAATACTTCTGCAATGTCACCTAAATTGTAAATGCAACCCCAATCGAAACTCTAATTTTGTTAACGTCCATGTAGTAATAAAAGTTATAATTTATTCATTTAACATTTCTATAAAAAAAGAAAAAGGAATTCTTAATTATAATTAAAGGTTAATTTGAAATTTTGTTATTATCTGAATTTTTTATCATCTAATTTTTTATGTATTGATTCATTGTAAGGATCATCAAACCTTTTGTTTATTTTATGTATTTTATCAACAGTGTATATTTATTTAATATTAACGGATATTTCACAAATATTTATTGTAATATTACGTTTTTATTTATACTAGAAAACGTATATGCTGATTAATGAAATACTTAAGAATGTTTGAAGACTGATGGTTTTATTAAAAAAATTGTAATTTATTATATGTAAGTAAATCAATTCTCCAGTATAACAGGTTTTTCATCTAATAAATGATATACAAGTCAATAATGCGAAAATTATTAATTGTTTGAATTGAATTAAAGTTTAAATGTATTTATTATTACATCAAAGGCTTGCATTATTAATAAATGTATTATAATAATTTTTTTTTCACATTAATAAATTTATGCATTATACAATGCTTTGGTATATTTACAGATGGGCTTACTATTTAATAAGTTATCGTTTTTTTTATTGATTTGTTCTTCACTAATACGATTATTTCACTTCGAATTTTATTATTTAGTTTCACTAGTTATAGATAATGTCTCTTGTCACAATTCACAAGTTTGAATTTAAAAGAACATTTTGCTTAATGTTCTAGAAATTTAATTGTCAAAGCTTTGTGAGTTTGGCGGTAGAAACAAAAAGTTATTATGAAAAGTTTAATGAATTGTTATTTCGAATAGCAATAGTTTACTCATAATTAAGGCACTTTTTCATAGAGCATAAATAATCAATAATTTCATATGCTAATATAATAATTCCTTAACTATATTAATATTTCCTGTTTTTTTTTTTTTTTTTTTTTTTTAATGTCATATTCAAAGTAAGACAGTATATAAGCCATATAATTCAATAATTTTCAGCAAATTAAAATCACCTTTATAAGGCGAAGACATATTTAGGAATAAACACGCGCGCGCACGCACACCACACGTACAAATATAATTTATCGATCAAAATTATGTCCATAAATTATGTAGGATACGAAGAAAGTGCAATACACACAGTCTTCAATGGCAATAATAAGTTAATAAGACAAACATACATCTATAGCAATAATCTATCGTTGCATTTTTATTTCAAATTATTTACTATAAGGTTGTTGGGATTTCATCTTTAGTTTATCTATCAATATAGCCGTAAGAGTAGTAATTATCAAGGTTAAAGATGTGCACTGTAGATTCGAGTAGTTGCTTTAGGAAATCAACTAGTAGATATCGCTCGGAGTATCGAATACACAGATAATATCATAAATAATCCGATGAAGATAAGTTTTGCGTAGCAGTTGACGAAGTAGTAAGGAGATACACTTTCTCTTCAACTTTGCGCAGCACAGTAAATAGAGTTAAGAAAGGACAAGCACACGCTAGCTTACAATAATTCAATTTTGAAAGACGCCCTTGTCAGTTAACCAATTATTAAGTTAAATTGTAAGCCAACACAGCTTTATTAATTTAATTTGTTCCAATTATTAAAGCAATGTAACAACAATTCTCAATTCAATACAGAAAAATATTGTTACTTTATGTTTTCTGCATGAGAAGGGACAAATAAGTTTGTGTAGTGAAGTTTTGACGAACCTTACGAATACTTTAAAAATTTTTTTTTTTGTATCAAAAATATACAAGATTTGTTAGAAAGTTATTACGATGTGATCAAGATAAAAAATATTTTCAAGTATTATAATAAGTTGCATTTTTAATTACCATCACATTAAAAAGAAAAATGTTTTCGAACTTT